CTGAAGCATATCTCGCCGCCGGCGAGAGGAAACTCACAAAGAACTTTGAAATCCCCTTGAGACGATTGACCCGGCGCCTGTCACCGCTAAGCCCGACACGCCGGAGGTACGAGGTAAGAAAAGTGATCGGGTGTGTAGATGGTTGATGAGCAGCACAAAACAGGTATCCAAATCAAGTCCAAAACAAAAAACAACATGGACACCAGAGGCCTCAAAAACAATTTCTGGAACCAGAATATTCGATCAAACCAGAACAGCAAAGTAGGGCCCTCGGCAAAAGCCCGACCGCCCTTGAATTCATGCGAGGAAATTCCATCCTCCCACCGAGGGATGCAAGATCCTTAAAGGGAAGTCGGACTCCCGCCCCCTTCGTTTTGCTCTCATCCTGGCCAAATCGGTCATGCATCGCTTGGTACACTAAGCACTTCCTCGCCCACACCTTGCCAACCTGCCGTCGAGGGTCACCACTTCATTGGACCTTGAGTTCATTAGAGTAGAGAGGCCTTCCATGCCAACTATGATAGAATCGCGTCGCGCGAAAGCGGCATAGCTATCTCACATACCAAGAGCCACCGTTGGTACAACAAGCACCACTCCAGCACGAAAATTATCGTCTATCCACACACACGTCCATCGACCATGATCAAGAATGGCTTACCCCTCGTAAGCGAACCGCATCAGGCATAGATACACGGTCGGCCAGCATGTGAATAGCCGGCTGTACTCCCCCTTCTTGCTGTCTCCAACCTCGTCCTTGTCCTGCGAAAAACAGGCGACAGAGAGCACGATACCTCATTTGCTAGCGGTCTGGCAGGACCTGAGTTATGAGGAAACGAACGCCGTATTGCACCAGTGATCGAGCTCAAAGCTTCAACAACACTGTACTTCACCTATGTACTTCCAATCCCCCATGAAAGCATCTCCCCGACGTGTGGAAACGCTTCCGAGCGACCAAAACATGAATCGAATCCCCCAGTACATTTTACCATCCGTGCGAAGGGATCTTTACTTCTAAATTTACTGTCTCCTCATTGGTTGGAGATGCGCGTGCGCGCGCTCCCTTCGGTGAACCTCTTTTTGGTTCTATTCACAAAGCTCTCCTGGGGTGGGGAAACCCCGGCGCTGTAGCTAGCTACATTTCTCCGCACGCCGCGCACGAGGTGCGCGTGCTGTGAAGGACGGACAGGGCGGCCGTGCTACCTTATCGACACGTAGCCTCTAGAGGGAGGCATTGCATAGCGTGGCTTCCACCGTTGGCCACCACAGCAGCGGTCAGTCGTTGATGCAAGGAGGTGAGCGGCATGCTGCCGAGCACGGGCTCTGCTGGCGGCGCGCATCATGATGCTGATCATGATGCAGGCGCGGATGACTGCGTGGATGGTGCGGCTGGTCGCCAGCACAAGCCGTTGTCGCACCCCTTGCCCGCAGCCCCATGCGCGAACACTGGAGAGAGTTCCAACTTCTTGCAGCAAAACCCTCCTCGAGAACGGACAGCGACCTCTTCCGGTAGCGAGCCGTCGGGCAATTCCCATCTGTCGGTCAGCGGCGCGCCTGGCGGTGTAGCCACCGTCGCGAACACATTTCCTTGCGACACTCCTGCGGCTATCGGAGAGGCTTGCAGAAGTGTGAGTGGACGTGAATCACCACCAGCGAAACGCCACGCGTCGCAAAGCCCATCATCCCGGGGGAGTTTGGGACGAGATGCAAGAAATTCATGCGAGGGCTTCGGGGCCGGTGAACGTCGCGGCAGGGTGCTGCACTCGTTCCTTGCTACAGCTGTGCAGATGTCCCAAGCATCGGAGGCCTTGGGGACGCCAGGGGAGCTATCAGGTGATGGTTTCGAATTCGCGGAACCACATACGCCCCTTTCGTCTGCCATTGGGGTACATACGGGACCGGGATACTGCTCTACCGGTACGCACGGGCCGAGTGCACCACTATAATACTACATTCGGAGGTAGAGGGAGTAGCGCAGCTAAACTATGAACGCTCACGCCAACTTGGAGCAATGTTGCCACCATGGCAGCGCCTAGCCAACGAAGTGCGGTGGCGACCGCAGCAGCAGCAGCAGCAGCAGCAGCAGCAACAGCAGCAACAGCAACAGTTTTCAGCCGCCGGTTGTTTTGGAGGGGTATGGCCGCCGCCCCGGCCGCCGCCACGGCTTTTGATGGCGCACCAGGGCGCAGCTGGCGGGGCGGTGTTACAGCCGCAGCGGGATAGACGGGTACGTCACCCACTTCCGCCGCTGCCGTTGCCTGTGCAGCAGAGGACGGCAGGTGGCTTCGTCGGTGACCCCCTGAACGCCCATGGTTTACATCTGGTTTTGCAGCAGGGCGCACCCCATGGCTCAGGGACAGGCGGTCATGAGGAGGAAGACGAGGGGGGGGGGGGGGGAGCAAAGGATGCCTCCAGCGGAAAGCCCGTCCCTGTCATCGTGCCTGCTAATGCTACGTTGGCGAAGCGCAGCTGGTGCTGTTCGAAAAGCAAGACAGTTACTTCGATTTGTCGTGGGTGTCTCAAACGATGGCATTGCCACGTCGACCATGGGCTGGTCGACCTTACCAAGGATCGCTTCATTTGCTGCTTCTGCGATACGAAGACGAAGTCGGCATGTCTGTGTCACGCGTGAGTACCCAATATCGTTTTCCGCTGTTCAGTTTCTTTGTTCAATTGCAATTCTCTTTAATTATATGACCAAGAGTGATGTGCCAAATCGAGTTCTCGGATGCTTCTCGCACACGTGGGTGTCACCCGATTCGATGCCACCCATGTGGTTTGTTTGAGAGGAATATGCAACAATATCTTGACTTCCACAGCGCTCGCGCAGCCTGGTAGGCTGTCACCTGTTTTCACCTAGTTACTCCGGGAATGTTGCTGGTGATCTGTATCGACTCCAACTTTTCTGGTTGCTTGACCATCGGTGTTTGTTAGGTCTTCACCCTCTCGCAGTGCGACCAAGACCGGAGCGTCCACAATACGACCTGCTCTCAGCGTGCGTGCTGTACGTATACTCATTTCCCCCCCCTCTATTCTTCCCACCATCACATGCTTCGTACTCATACAGGATCAAGAAGAACAAAGCTGATAAGCGAGCGGCATCCCAACGAGGTCAAGCCGGCCACATCCACGGGAGTAGCGTGTCCCGAGTGATTCACCGCCAGGCTCGAACCAGCGCTTTCAAGCTCCGTCTGCCTCTCACGGTGGCGGCGCGCAACTCTAGAGATAGACAAAAGGCACTGTTTTCGGTCTCCACTACCGCCCGCGGCGACCGTGTCATGGTCATCACCGACGTCACCGCCGAGCAACCTGGTGCGCCTGCAAGCTGCATCGTGAACTGCTGCGATAACCGATGCCACAAGTGAGTCGATGTAGTAGTTGGGGGATGTCACGAAACAACAGTGCTTGTGTGGTGTTCGATACTCTTCCTTCTCACCGGCAAATCTCCGATCGAAACTACACGTTATTGTTGCAACCCAACGCTTGTATAACTCGTTTGGAAAAGAAAGACATTTGCAGGGCACAGGTAGGGGCCCGGCCGTTCTGCATTCTCATTTTATTTTTCGACAGTTGCTGCTCGCTAAATTTATCAGAAATTAATCGGCATATATATTTTTTTCTGACGATGCACTGTCACTTTCACGGTTGCTTTCGTTTGGTTTTGCAGTGTGCAAGCGGAACCCGAGCACGCGCCAAACGCCGAGCAGGTTGCAGCGGGCCAATGTGAGCACGCTGACGTCATTCTCGGAGATGGGACCACTCCGAAGGCGGATATTCCTGAAGCAGAGCCGGTTGTCTTTGGCAAGGATGGGGAAGGGATCGAAAGCGTTGGGGATGCAGCGATAACCCAGATGGTTTTGACTCATGGTTTTGACTCAGGGTAGCTTTGACACCATTCTAAGGATGGCAGCGACTGCAGAGGAGCATGGGGTGCCGCTGTTGATGCGCTTAGGCGAGACTCAGACGTATGTTGTGTACCATCCGGGTCATCGGTCTATTCCTGGCAGCTGGGCACACGTCGAGACGGATTTCCCGCAACCACCCGGGTCGAAGAAAGCGCCATCAACGAGAAGGCGGACCACTGAAAGGAAGCAGATCCAGTGCAAGGTGATAGTCTACTACTGCCGATGCATGACTATTTTTTATTCGGAGCTCTAGAGCGCTTCTGCTGTGTATGTTTTCCCGCCCCAACCTTGAAATTCGTTGTGCAAACCACGCCAGCAATATCGGTGCCTGTGTTGTCTAGCTCGGATGGTAAATATCGTGGTTTACCTGACGTACAGTATTTTCCCCTGAGGATAGCTGGTCGGAAAGGCAAAGTAGCAGCGAATGATACTTTCGGTGCTTTCAAGATGGTGTACATCATAGCACG